AGGGTCCTAGGACATGAGTAGTACTCCTAGATGCACTTACCAATTTAAGTAATAAATAGAGACACTTTACCCTACTATTTGGTAAATGCCCTGGAAAAAAGGAAAACTTATGTGAACAGAGTGCAGTTGTCTCTTCAACTCACCATTAAAAAGAGTTGTAAATAACAGTCTGCAAGACAGCTTTCCTGAGGGGAAACATTTTCATGTGAAGAAGCAGGAGTTTTAGGTGCAGTTCAAAGAAGAAAACTGTCACTTAGTTGAGATGTATATTGCAGAATAAGTTTACTGAGACTTCAAGATCTGAGTAATCAGGACCCTGGCTAAGAAGATAAGTTTGCATGGGAAGTGTGGAGAAATAGCAAGAGCCTGTGAGTGACCACTGGTGTTTGACTCTAACTCAGTTTGTTTTAATCAAACTAGTTCAGGATCTTGGATAAACTCCAGTAACTAAGTTGTCCATTAATATGATAACATGAGTTTGATATTCAGGTCAAGCTTCTTAACAGACAACAGCTGAAAATAGCAGTAACTTTCAATAAACGCAAAGGCATATTTAAACAAAAACGTGATAACAATTCGAGTTTCATAATTATTTCACTTCCTCCTAATAACTTCTCATCTTTCAAGCACTATAAATTATCTTTATTGGGACAGGAAGCTGTCAAGAACATTGTCACCCTTGAGAGATGTAATCATGACCAAATCTCATTTGTGTGTCAGGCTTCAATGCAATTCATCCATTTGATCTTCAACTTTAGAACGAAGGGTTTGATCAAGGATCAACCTGAATCCACAGCTATTCCTTCACTGTCTATTGACCCTGTGTGTAATTAAGGTACGTTTGTGTTTAGTAGCACAGTCTTGTTAACTATGGCTGATAATGCTCTGAAAGTAATTAGGAGACTTTAACATTAGTAACAGCTTCCCATCCAAATGCTGCCCAGACAAAAACCATGATTTTCCCTGACTTCATTTTTCAGGGGCAATGCTCACTGTTATATATTTGACTGCATGCCTTTCAAATCTTAAATATTTTGGATTTAGTTCTGAATTTTGAATATCATGTACATTATGTAAATCTCAAGGATTAACTAACTATAAGCCTGGTTTCTTCTGAAGGGACTGTCACATTTACTTTTAAAGTCTCTCTGACCAAATGTAAATGTCACAAAATTCTCTCAGATCTCATCATTTTTTTTCTTTTTCACATAGTCATTCCGATAGGCTGTGTTCAAGGCTTTTGAACACTGATGTCCAGCCACATTACACCCTTGGATAGGTGCTCAAATACCAAGTGCAGAAGAACCGTCAGTCACTCAGGCAAAAAAAACCTTAGCTGAATAATTGGTTATGGCTAAATTAACTGTAGAAGAGATATCACCTATATTAAATAGGACATCTAGGCATTCACTTACATTAAAAAAAAAATCTGGATTATAATTTGTGTATTTAATTGGTAGCTACATGCAGAGCCACCCCTAGGGCATAGCAAATTGGGGAGACCACCCCGGGCCCTGGAACCTCACCTGGAGCTGGCGGCTCAGCCCTGTGCTGCGGAAGAAGGCTATCATGGAACTATTTAACTTTTCTCTTAATTTCAAAGAGGAGGAAGATTTCTTTGGGATTTTCCCTTTTTTTTTGTATTCTCTTTGTTGTCCATTTAGGGCCATTCCTGCCCCAGTTAGCAGAGAATTCCAAAAGAAGCAGCCCATTTCAATACAAGCTTTTGCTCTAGCATGTGCTGATTTCTCACTTGTTCAGCATTTCACCTCTCCAAAAGAACACAGTTGTCTTGGAAACTCTTGCTTGCAAAGGGACAGGTGGTCTCTGAGGTAGCCGTGGATCTTATCATTAAGACCTTTGAAAACCAAGCCTAGACTGCTGAACTTGACTTGTTAAATTGTTTTATGGGCAGCCAATGAAGAAAATTAAGCACTGGCATTAAATGTATATATCTTGTATAGTTAGTTCTGTGTACTGGTTAGCAGGCCCCGTGTAGCAGCAAGACTTTCCTCCAGTGTCTGTGACTGTATTCCTACATCAAGCATAAAGGACCCAAAGTCATTCATCCATCTGGTGCAGTTCTTTCTGTCTGAATGGAGCATAGTCTCCAGACTGGATGTAGGAAGGAGGGAAGGGTTTACATGAAACAGTTGATGTTACAAGAAGAGTAAATCTAGGGAGGATTTTGGTGGGCTAAAGTTCCATCAAGTAGATACCCTGTGGGTATCTATTAGAAGAAGGAAGAATGGTAGAGAAAGATATAGGGGCTTTCTCGAGCAGGCACCAAATCCAATTTTGAACCTTATGTCCACAAACTGTTAAGTAAAAAGCATTGCAGTGAAGCCTAAATTTCCCTTAACAAGGTTACTAGAGTTAAGCAGAGAGAGGTAATTCTGTTTCTTGGGAGACCTTGATATACTGACATTTGATTTCATCCTGATTTGGAAAAGCCCCACAGTCCCTAACTCAGAGGCAATTTCCCTGCTAGGCTATCCCAGAACCATACACCTCAGTTGCCCTGGACTGTCTGACTGACATCAACAGTAGATGCTTTTTAAGGAACTGAATGTGCAAGCTGGAGGGAAACTTCTGAGTTTTCTTCTAAGCCTGTTTGGCAGACATGCCTCGGTTCTGTAGGAATTTTAATGAATTTGAACAACATTTGAAAAATGTGTCAATTCTGATGAAAAAACAATTACAATTTTACCAACTAGCTCTAATTCTTATCTATATTAGAAACTGGAAGTTAATCCTGATATCCTGGTCATTCTCCTACAAAAATTTCTGTGGAATCTCTATTCCTAAAAACATTCAATTATTCACTTTAATATCACAGCATATCCAGTACTACAGTGATTCTTAGGTCTGGGCTGGAGCATTTATTCAAGAACAGAGTGAAGCATAACTCCTACCAAATTGTCCCCACTTTTTGGATTGCTGTAACTGAGGGCGAGGACACACAATGTGACTACTATGGAATAATTTATCCTAGATTTTATTTTATTATAAATTTACTCCATATTAAGATTAGACATATAGGTTCCAAGTTAGCTGCCTTTAGTACGATATAGTACAAGCTGGATTGGGAAAGATTTTGCACTAAGCAAACAGCTACCTAGAGACAAAACTGACTAGGGAAATAGACCCATGCCTGCTATATCAGTGTATAGGCTAGTGATGGGCAAAGTACAGCCCACAGGCTGAATCCAGCATGCCAGGCAATTTAATTCAGCCCATGGGTGCTCACCAATTAATTGTTCCCCACCCAGCCTGCGCTCTTCGGTTCAACCCTTGTCCTTGGAGGGCCTCAGCCTGGCCCCAGCCAGCATGGGCAGGGTGTGCCTGTGGGTATGTGGGGTGCAAAGGAGGGTGGAGGGGATCTGGGGACCCTCCCACACACCTCCCCCCATGGCGCACAACCCCCCTCACCACTGGTGGCAGCAGCAGCTGGTGGTGGGCCCTTGGGGTGCTCATGGCCCAAGTGGCTCCAGCCAGTTCCCAGAGCTCAACATACAAGGAGTGGAGCCACGCTGGTAAGGAGTGGAGCCAGGCTAGTCCACCTCTATCACCTGGGGCTCTCATGCAGCTCCCAGGACTTGTGTGCCACCAGGTGGAAGTCCCGTGTGATGGAGCCATGTGCAGCTCCTGGGACACCACTGGGAAGAAGGGAGCAGGGAAGGCAGCTAGTTCCATTGTGCAGGGCTTCCCTCCTGTGGTATGCGAGTGCTGGGAGCTGCACATGAGCCTCAGATGATAGAGGTGGGCTGGCCTGATTCTGCTCTTTGCCACCATGTACATCTTCCAGAATGGGCTGGAGCCACACACTGCTGGGCAGCTGCACCTGCATGGGCCTTGAGCACCCTGAGGGCCTGCTGCCAGCTGCTGCTGCTGCCAGTGGAAGGGGCTGTGCGCCATGGGGGGAGGCATGTGGGGGGCTCCCCACCCTTCCCATACCCCCTCACAACCCCCCACATGTACACATACCCACATTCCCCAATGTACCTTACTTCCACACACAGCCACACACCCTCACAAACCCTGCACACACCCATCCACATCCACACTACACACCCCCTCCCACCCATACACAGTCATACGCCTCCATAAACCCTACACCCACCCACATATCCACCCCACTACACACACACACCCATGCCCCAACCACACTCAGACTCCCCCATGCACAATATACAAGAGTAAGACTTTATTTTTGAGCTATTATGCAATGACCTCTATATACACTATGCAAACACAAATAAATCAGGACAAAATATTTTTTGAAATAAAATTAAGATAGGTTATAGTAGATGTTTGACTTTTAGTGCATAATTTGTTTTTTTCCAAGATGGCACCCCCTTCTCCCAAAGGACTACTTTTGGGGGCAAGGGGAGAGATGTCTGCTGGCAAAGGTCAGGGGTTAGGGGGTGAGAATTCTGGTCCCAAGATGGTGACCATGGGGCAGGGCACCTGTCAAGCTACCACTGCGGTCCACGTCAGCTCACCAAGACTCATTAAGCAGCCCTCCAGCTGAAATAATTGCCCACCCTGGTATAAGTCAGTCCCCACTTTGTAAGAGGTAACTTTACCCTGAATCAGTGACTAACAGCAGGCTGCATTGTCATGCATCCACTCCTCTTTTATTCAGAGTGGAGTTAAATTTTTCTGGAATAAATTTGTTGTGTGTGTACCTTCTAAGATAAATAAAACCAGATAAATTTAGACAAATAGCCAATATTACACTTCCCATAATAGGTAGAATATTAAATCTGTGAGACAGAGCTTTTAGATATTATTCTCATTGCTTTATGTCAACATTTATATTGGCCTCCAGTTAATTACATTAAAAATAAACAAGAACTAGATATAGAGTTACCTAGAGTTAAGAAGGAAAAATAAAAACATAAGAAACATTACCAAGAAGAAATTATTTGGTGACACAGAAAAGATATTAAACATAAAAGCTGAACATTAAATAAGTTATATGAAAAGCAGTGTACCTGTGAATAGCCGATTATGTCTCCATTTTCATCCAGCACATTAAAATTAATGATCGGACCCTGGACATCAGGATTGCTGAAGTCTGTATCACTGTAAATGTGCACTACAGGTGCCCCATTAGTATACTTTAATGTAGACAGCACAGTGTAGGTGTAGTGAGCTAATGCAAAGGTATGCTGTTTTATGTTCTCCATCCCACCTAGGAGGCAAACAATATATAGGTGTCAAATACCTTTTCTTTTTTAAATATTGTTTTTACAAAATAGTAATGAGCTCTTTTAAATGAACGTACACTATTCAAAGTTTTCCATTTCCTTACAAAAGCTTCAGTGGTGCTATAATATCACAACAGCCACCTACCTTCCTATTAGTCAATGCAGACTTTTAGATGGGGACATTTTTAGCTTAACCTCACAGACACAGTAATCTTTTTGGTCCAAATCCACATACATCACAAAGTCATTCTGAAATAGTTTTGCTAGAAGGGCAAGTTTTGTTGGGTGACCCAAAGGACTAAAAAAGAGCTGTTCAACTGGTGGTTCTTGAAGGGCTAATTTGTGGTTCCTGGGCTTCCACTTGGCTGCTGCTCTCCCCAATGCTTTGGCCACAGTAGCAGCCAGGAGCTTCAGGCTCCCCCTCCCTCCTCTCTCTTGAATTTCCTGCCCCTTGCCCAGGGGCAGAGTGGTGCTGCATGCCATAGCCTGCCAAGCCAGGGAGCTGAGACTGAGGGTCAGGGGTGGTAGGGCACCCACAAGCATGGTGCAGAACTGAAGGGAGGGGTGCCCAAGGGTGTGGTTCAGTGGCAGGAGGGCATCCATGTAGCATGCTGCTGCCACGGGTGTGATTTGTGGGGTGTGCAGCCACTGACTGCTTAGAAACCAGAGAGCCCTGGATTAGAACTGTGCTACAGATCATGAAAACTGACATCAGTACTAGCATAGGGGGCAAAACAAAATGGAAAAAAAAAGATCAGTTCTGCAGTGAGTACACCTCATGCAAGTCCAATTTCTTCAGTGGAGTAACACAGGGAGTAAGTTAGTTAACATGGCCTTTGGTCTGGACGGAAAAGAAAGAATCCTTCACAGCCAAAGATTTCTTTCCCTACTTCTTTGCCATACCCTAAGGCTTCCAAAGGCATCCTGCTGGATCCACATTTCCCAGACGTGTCTTTGTTTTGACAAGAGTATGTGTCTCATTTACAGGTACCCGGTAAGATGGTTTCTAGTTCCTCACACTGGATCACGGCCAAACACATGCACACAGATATTTTATTGTCGTCAGCAGTGACCTATATTGAGTTTCAGCAACAAAAACACTGGAATCTCCCATTTGAACCAAAGGAGAAATTACCTAAACTGTGGGGAAGTCATACCATGATCACTGGGATAATCCATTGGCAGGAGCTTATTGAGCATGACTATGGGTGCTGCATTAGAAATAGGTACAAAACAAATGCATACTACATATCTTCTGGAGAACAAGAATGAATAACAGTCAAGGTAGAAACTAAAAAGGAATACTGAACTCTTACTTGAGGGGAAGATGAATTGGAAGATAGTAAGCACAGTATTACAAAGATGCATGAATCAGTGTAAGCATAGGTCGAGTAAAATTGTCTGTTCTGCATTGCTACCAAAATGTTGACGAGGCACGTAATACAGAATCACTTTGGATTATGCAGTTATGTACATATTATAGAAGAGTGGGTATGCCTTTTTTGGTGGGTATGCCATAAATAAGCTCTGTCCCCTCCCCAGGTACCACTCCAATTCCCTTCTCCTGCCTAATCCATTACTCCTCCCTATCAGATGTGCCATGTGCTGAAAAATGAAAACGTTCAGTCCTAGGTATGGTGGACGAATGGTGAAGAACCTCTGTTTACCGCATCGTGCAAAGAAATATGATGTAGCATGAATGCCTGCAGGCCCTTCTAGAACTTTTGCCAGAAGCCATTCAGTATGATTTGCCACTGTTTTTCCTGAATTAACTTGGCCAACTTCTCTAAAACATTTTTCCCCTAAAAACTTCCTTTGTGTTATAGTGTTTGAGGAGAAAAGCTCTAGCCCAAGAGGTCCTAAACACTGTTGAAGATAGCAACATAGAGAATAATTTTTTCTCTGATATTGCTAGAGACCTAGCCGTCTTAATAAATCTCAGTGCCTTGGCAGTTTCTGAGATGCCTTTAATTCCTGAGATTCACAGCTTTTGCAAATTGGCAAGAACCTCTTAAAGGAAGATTAAACTACTTTTCTCATGCTTTGTTGAACAAATCTCCGTCTCTTATTCACACCAATCATCCTATCATTTCTATATTGTCTTCAGCCACTCTTGATTTACAGTTTCTTAATCACATCTCTTTGTCCATTAGTCAGAAGTTGCTGAGTCTCTTAATTATTTATTCTGACAAATACAAATGCAATTGCCTGTAGTTGATCCTTCTTAACACTGCAGACAGAATGTATTGTTGCCAATGGTCTGTATTTTCAAGGAACAGAATAGGTCAAGATTATGGCTGATGAAACAAAACTGATGATTCATAGCTGGTTTTAACAAAAATCGTATATCTATTATTCAGTTTTGATATCTTCTTTAATAATATGACCTCTGTACTGCTCTGTGCATGAATTTTCCTATTTCCTGAGTTTGCATCTACCACTGCCCCAGGAAGTAGATGGAGGGGAAGAAAACTGCAACAGATCTCCATCCTCTCAAGGGGTTTGTGGCCTTCAATTAATGTGTATGCATAGTGCAGTGGGGGGGCTAACCTTTTTTGGCAGGCATGCCACAAATCAGCCCTACACCCTTCTCAAACTACACAACTATATTTCCACTGCCTGCTTTTAAAGCAACACAGGTTGAACAAAGAAGCTCATTGCTTTTCCACACTGGCCCCTATACTAGAGGTGTTCTACAAGACTTTTGGTGCCACTGTTAAATACTACACGGTCTTTCCTAGATATACCATTTCTTTGTGCTTTGTGACATCTTGACCATGTCAGCACAGGGTAAACTCTGTTTCTTTCTCCACAAGCTCTGGATACAGAATATGGAAATTAATGGTGCATCAGCATCAAAACTTCACTGCATCATGGTATTCCTTTTCTACATGGTGGCTGCATGTGCCCTCAGCCACTCTTCACATCTGCTAACCCACAACAAGAGGAGCAATTGTTCATGGCAGATATACTGAAAGTATAAGCCCATACCCCTGCCTTTTCTATTTCTTTACATGGATTTATTCTCTTAAAGCCAGATCCAAACCCAATCTATAAGACAGACTTCACGTTGGATCTTATCTGCAATATTTCCCCTCCTTTGTTGACGTACATAGTTTCATAGTTTCATAGATTTAGGGTCGGAAGGGACCTAGTAGATCTTCTAGCCCGAACCCCCGCCAGGGCGGGAGAACAACAAAACCCCAAAACAAAAACGGGACTCAAATGAGTCCAGCCAGGTAGGCATCCAGCCTCTTCTTAAAGACCCCCCAGGGTAGGGGCCAGCACCACTTCCGTTGGAAGTTGGTTCCAGCTCCTAGCCGCCCTAACTGTGAAGTAGCTTTTGCAGATGTCCAATCTATACCTCCTCTCCATCAACTTGTGCCCATTACTCCTTGTTAGGCCAGCTGGCGCTAGGGGAAACAGCATCTCCCCCAAACCCTTCTGGTCCCCCCTAGTGAGTTTATAGACGGTCACCAGGTCCCCCCTCAGCCTTCTCTTGTGGAGGCTGAATAGGTTCAGGTCCCGCAGTCTCTCACTGTAGGGTCTGCCCTGTTGTCCCCAGATCATGCGGGTGGCCCTCCTCTGGACCCTCTCCATGTTGTCCACATCCCTCTTGAAATGGGGCGCACAGAACTGGACACAATACTCCAGCTGTGGCCTGACCAGCGTCGCGTAGAGGGGGAGGATCACCTCCTTGGCTCTACTCGAGATGCACCTGTGGATGCACGACAAGGTCCGGTTAGCCCTGCCAACCATGACCTCGCATTGTCGGCCCATGTTCATCTTGGAGTCAATAATGACTCCAAGATCTCTTTCTGCCTCCGTGCTCTCAAGTAGGGAGTTCCCCATTGATCACCAATAGAACTGCTTCCCTCCTACTGTCTCCCACTGTCCTTGAAAGGACAGTTTAGGAAGAAATGAATAGATGTGATATAACCTAGAACCTGCTCAAGAGCTGGATATTAGACTACACAGGCTAAAGGAAGAGGAGGAAATGTTTGCCTTTGGCCCTTTTCTCTAACTCCACCTATAAAACAAGGGAAGAGAATTAATTTCTCCTGTAGTTTAATCTAAATGAAGAGAAAAAAAGGTGCACAGGCAAAAAGATATTAGAAATAAGTGAGATAAGCAGGATTATAATACACTATTTCATACCAGCTGAAAACTCCTTAAAGTGTTCACTGAAAGAAGGAAATTCCAGTTTCTATTATGAAGATGCACCCTTTCTCCGTAGGACTAGGTGTCTGTGCCTGTAGTTGGATGGCCTTTTGCTGTGTTATCAACTCTTTAAAATGTACCTACTGTGTCTGTAATATGGAGGCCTCTGCCTTCTCTCTGTACCATAATCTCTCAGCAGTAATTCTGTGCACAATAATTTAGATCCTTTTATACTTTACCCTCTCTCCCACCACCTCAATAAATTTAGACTGTGGAAAGCAATTGCTTAATTCTCCGTTCAGGATGTTATACTGAGACCTACCATGAAACACATACTCAAGTTTTATCTTAATGAACAGAAGGAGTTCTGATGCCCCATCTCACATTTTTAGGGCAGCTATTTTACACTGCTAGTTCTATATGGTAAGGGATGATAGCAGTCTTTGAGTAAAGCAAGCAGAGCATTCTGAAAGGAAGAGTTATTCATTTGTTTCTTTATTCTTAATTTCTCTGGAGTGGAGTAGAGACGAGATGCTGCACATATTTGCTGGTCTGATTTTTAACATACCTTTTAATTATTAGTGAAATTCAATTCGGCTTAGCTGCTTGTTTGACCGAAACCATGCTACACTCCAGAAAAAGTTACAAATCAAAATAATTTTACTGACTGCTTGCAATGACAATTCAGCTTCTTTTATGGGCACAGTTTCTGGCCATATAGGTAAAAAGAGTGCAACATTTTACAATGGCCCCACCCACAGAAGCGATAGAGAAGCTTTCCATCTCTGCTCTTCTTAAAACCCTAGGGCATTCCTCAGGTATT